TGGACTGGCTTGAGCTGGAGTGTAACGGGTATGTTTGGTATGATCACGAGAGATCAAACGTGGTTTGTATAGGTGAAATGGTCTATAAGATGAAAATGCTGCATATAGTATTCAAGTATTGTAAAAATGCTGCAACCTGAAAGTTGTTTGAACTTCTGCTGCTCGTTATAAAAAGCTGCAAGTGTTCCAACAAGCTAGGCCTTAGACATGACCAAACAGTACGGGCTATTACGATATGTCAATATGTAGTAATTTCAGATATAACAATCAATGGTCAATTGTTAGTGGTGAAACAACCCCGGTAAACAGGACAGAGAAACACTCTTCCATTTTTCGAAAGAGTTATTTGGTTTGTGCGGTTAGAATAATGACGACAGAAAAACATGGCGTCAAAAATTGCAAACATAATTCATGGGTGTAAATAGCAGGACTGAGTGGGGTTATTGACGTTGATCAGGTAGCACAGTCGGCGAGAGAGTCCGGAGGTTCCCGGTCCGAATACCGCCACGGTCTCACCGTATTACCCTCTGCTGGTACGTAAAGGATACGGTATCACAGTCAAATGTAGTAAATTAAATGAAATAGACAGAAAATAGGAAATACATAACATTACACAGTACTAATGGAAGTCATGACGTTACGCGCGATGTTGCTGACATCTTGTGTAACGTTAAATGACGTCAGCTTTTATCATATTTGACGTCGTTTTTGAGACGTTTGTCATACTTTGGATAATTATTTTGTATGACCTGCTTGTAAGCTTTGCCGTGCGGGCAAAGAAAAAATACCAATATTAGCTGATACCTTTTTTTTCGTTACTGTTGTGAAATATATAAATTTTAAAAAAATTGGCCGGTATTAGGAGGGGGAGATACATGTGTAGTGAATATAGCATTTTCAACCATTCATCTACTGAAATCCGTCACTAAGAGTCCATAAAAGTCCACAATACAGGAAAATAAGGACCAATTCATGCAACCGTAGTTACGACTTGAAAATCAAAATATCAGGATTATAATCTGCATAGAAGCGTCATAACAAGCGGAAAACAATATAAACTGTCGTAGTAGTTTCCTATAGTAAACAATATAAATTGTCGTATTCGTTTCCTAGTATCCTAGTAAACAGATATCAACATGACTGCGCGTAAACATACCGTACTATATGAACTGTTAGTGGTCGGATTATCACCACAACGCGTACGTAAAAACACCTACTTACGTAAATCCTAATTAATATAAGTAGGAGATTATCTCCCTTGTCACTCGATCAAGGGTTTTCCTAATCTCAGCGAGTCACGGTCTTTGTATCTTACCAGGAGGAAATGAAATGGAGAGGATTCGAACCTTTCTACAGACAGACCACCTGGCATGTGTAGTCTATGAACCTTTCTACAGATAGACCACCTGGCATGCGTAGTCTATGAACCTTTCTACAGATAGACGACCTGGCATGCGTAGTCTATGAACCTTTCTACAGAAAAACGACCTGGCATGCGTAGTCTATGAACCTTTCTACAGACAGACGACCAGGCATGCGTAGTCTATGAACCTTTCTACAGATAGACGACCAGGCATGTGTAGTCTATGAACCTTTCTACAGATAGACCACCTGGCATGCGTAGTCTATGAACCTTTCTACAGACACACGACCAGGCATGCGTAGGCTATGAACCTTTCTACAGACAGACGACCTGGCATGCGTAGTCTATGAACTTTTCTACAGACAGACGACCTGGCATGCGCAGTCTATGAACCTTTCTACAGACAGACGACCAGGCATGTGTAGTCTATGAACCTTTCTACAGATAGACGCCCTGGCATGCGTAGTCTATGAACCTTTCTACAGATAGACAACCAGGCATGCGTAGTCTATGAACCTTTCTACAGACACACGACCAGGCATGCGTAGGCTATGAACCTTTCTACAGACAGACGACCTGGCATGCGTATAGTCTATGAACCTTTCTAAAGACAGACGACCTGGCATGCGTATAGTCTATGAACTTTTCTACAGACACGCGACCTGGCATGCGTATAGTCTATGAGCCTTTCTACAGACACACGACCTGGCGTGCGTATAGTCTATGAACCTTTCTACAGACAGACTTCCTGGCATGCGTATAGTCTATGAACTTTTCTACAGACACGCGACCTGGCATGCGTATAGTCTATGAGCCTTTCTACAGACACACGACCTGGCGTGCGTATAGTCTATGAACCTTTCTACAGACAGACTTCCTGGCATGCGTATAGTCTATGAACTTTTCTACAGACACACGACCTGGCTTGCGTATAGTCTATGAACCTTTCTACAGACAGACTTCCTGGCATGCGTATAGTCTATGAACTTTTCTACAGACAGACGACCTGGCATGCGTAGTCTATGAAGCTTAGAGGTTGTACTCATCGTTACAACATACGTACTACATGTATGTATTTGGCTACAGTACAACCCTTTCCCTTGTGATTGGCTAATTTAATAACTTCGCCAGCAATGCTAATACATAAATACATTTACAGCATGCATACAAACCACGAATAATTCATTTGGTTAAATTTCCAAAAAAAAGCAAAGAATTCGTAACTGAGGATATGGAAATGCATCGTTGCGACTGTTGCCCTAAACTCGTATGGGAATAACCGCATATTTGAAGCCCCATTCCGGTATGTTTTTGTATGACAGTGAATCTGAATATTTCAAGTGGATATCGCCCGTCCACAGCAACACACACAAGTTTGGAGCCAGAGTGAAGATCTTGCTGTCCAACATAACACTACGTACATAACTACATATTATATAAAAAATATCTCCCAGCGTTCCTTGCACTACTCACTTCCAGGATTCATCTGATCGAGATATAATCAGATTGTTTCATGACCAAGTTAAGAAAAAGCAAAGTTAAAACCCTACTTCCCCCATATAGTAAGCAGCAATCGTGCAATTGTACAAACTACAATGTTCTCCATGCCCTTTTGGTTGTGGTCTTACTCACAACAGCCCATGCCATTTTATAGCGTAATGATGACAAAATTATAATAGATTCTCACTTCACGGACAAGAACGACGAAGTTGAGATTTTATGAGACGGAATTGAAGCGTGTCCTACATTGTAGACCCAGATAACGGGAGACCACGGACTTAGATAATCTAATTCCGTGGGGAGACAGATAGTTACACGGACAATATGAATGTGAGAGAATAATGTCACCCATTACAGCTCTGATGGCGCACAGAGCCCTGGGTCATTTCACTGTTCATTATTGTTAGCATTTCTCGTGACTAGACAGGTACAGGATTTGTACACCAGTGTATTCCTGGGGACACGACGTGTGTGGGACCATGTGATCATACGGGCTTAGTGACCGTACTGGAATGGATAGGTCTGACATACTGTATAAACTCAAATAACGGTAAATTAGTGACCATTCAATAGATCAGATGTAGATATTGTCCCATTGTTCTGGTATAGCTGTTTCCTCTAAATCTAATACTGTACTCTCGTATTGTAACGATCTGTGTTCAACATAAAAGATTAATAAAATGTCAATCTCTCTCAGCCATGCTCTTGAAACAGTAGGACATTAGAAAGATTATTTATAAATGGTTAGAGCGATAAGAACAAATTGCAATGTATCACGGTTAGGATCTCGTTTTCAGTAACGTTAAAATATTTCGTTAAGAAATCGGAAAGTTCTGTATGTATATATGTTTCTGCTCGGTGGTGCTATCTGGCTGGCCTATTCTCACAGATTTCTAATGGGATTTTCGAGTGAACCTTTATACGTTTGAAAGATATCGTGAGAGGTCGCTGTAGTGGAGGATTTTTAAACCCAAATGTGTTCTATCAATTTTTATTGTATAATATATCTCAAATGATAAGAAATGTATCCGTAGTAATACTACACGTATATAGTATTAATATATCTATATTATAACAATATGCTGATTTCTGTATTAGCCTATAGTAGTGTGTATGGCAAGTCAGTCACAGAACTATTTTTTTCTATATTATTTGACTGAAATAAATATTTAAATCAAAATGTATACCCATCCTCGATACACTAGTGGTCACGCCCACAATCGTGCTGTACAGTGAGATGACCCCAACCAGACGTCTTCCAAAACAGAAGACCGCGGAACTTTGTAATAGGTATCCAGCTATTTAAAAGTATTACACAATTTTGAAGGTAAGACAACCAATAAATGTATACTAAGCGCTCTCGCAGGCTGACAATAAATGTATACTAAGCGCTCTCGCAGGCTGACAATAAATGAATACTAAGAGCTCTCGCAGGCTGACAATAAATGTATACTAAGCGCTCTCGCAGGCTGACAATAAATGTACACTAGGCGCTCTCGCAGGCTGACCATCGGCTGGTATCATGGTTTTCCAGGTTCATACAAAAAGTGAAAGACATTTTCTACCACTCAGTCCTCTACAGTAAAACACTACCGGGACGAAATACATACACGGTACATGTCCTGTACATATCCGTTAGTAAATTTATAAAAATCTAGACAATATATGGACATACACGTTTTTCTGTACAAATACATACGTGCCCATTTAGACATATCATGTTTTGTTGGAATTCAAAACCTTCCAATTAGGTCTTTGACCCATAACACTAGTTCTATAGGTCTGTGTCCAGCCTAACCCTATACGCGGTGTACAACCCCTGTATAACAATAAGTTCGAGTACAAGAGGTAAGATACATATTTTTATCTCTCCGATCACGTAACTTGAGTCAACTTTACTGGTATATCAGAGACAACATTGTTCTAAGTATATTATACAGGTAATAAATCTCACCCGAGATACAATCACTACAACTTCGTATTGCCAATATAAGCCAGACATTTATATGTCATCGAAGCATGTTCACACAGGTGATCAGCGGTAATTCACTACTAGATAAAACACAGCTACCGTTTAAAGGTATACAAGATATAAATACAGGTGAAAATCACAGGTATGATGATGCATTTTGCTTACCTTCAAAAGTGATCAGTATTCCAGTGCTATGTTTGTGTTGTTATTCTCCTGGTACATCTTATTATTTATCACGATATATTTGTCCAACACTTCCGTCCAATCACTCGTAGTGTTGTTATTGAATGGTTAGTGTGAGGGCCGCCGGTGCGTGACGCCTCGTTTTGCGAGTTGCTATAGACGCGAACGAGACCGGGCTAATATTGTTTGTTTCCATTCACAGGAGAGTCGCCTCATTGCTTGACTAGCGACGACGCCGAACACCTATATCATATATATACCAATATACCTTCGATCACCTGTACCGCGGTAATTAACTCACAGGTAAACTTGACACATACCGCTGTTGGTGATGTCCCAGGGATTTAAAAGCAATTCGATGTTTTTGAGTTTATGTCAGACGGGGGTGGTATGAGAACATACCCCTTACAAATAGAAATCAAATCAGTCCACGATATTATCACGATCACAAAAAGGTTAAATGTAACAAGTTAATAAAGGATGTGTTATCTGGAATAAAAACAGGAATTCTGTATAAAAACATAAGTGTTTATATCACTGCAATTTAAAGTTACTACTTATTTTGTGGTACGGTTTTGATCAAACTATATTTTCTCGTGATAGCATCATATAGTTGAATTGTATAGAGTACGTTCAAACAGCGGTGACTCAGTTGTTTACCTGGAAAACGTCAAGAAAGTAGTGCAATTTTAACGACATATTCATTATACAATATACACACTGTACTACCAAAATCCATAACGTAACACATTGTATCAGCGACATCTTTGCTAAGCTTCGTACCCTATGACGTCAGTCGCTAAGCTTCGTACCCTATGACGTCAGTCGTTAAGCTTCGTACCCTATGACGTCAGTTTGCCGAATATTCTACAAAAAAACCTTGAAATTTTCTGTAACGCTATCTGAATCACATTATACAATAACATCCAACGAGAGTGGATATGGTCAGAAATCATAAGTTTTGATTTTTGATTTAAACATATTTTATTGCCTTTAAAGCAACAGGATTGGGCACAAGTTGTACAACTTATTTATAGCCCTTTTACTAAAATAAAACATCTGTATATACTTACAAATTCAAGATGGCATAAACAATATACACAACCATTTATACATATCTTATGCGAGAGAGAGCTTTTTTAAAATATGTATTTTTTTCATAATGTGGACAATCTTTTCCGACACTGGCGGCAGAAGTTGACACTATACACTTACCTAACATTCTGCTTGTACTATTGTCCATCACTCCCGTGCCTTGGTTTGCTTCCTCTTTGTCATTCCGTTCTTCCTTGAATATCCGTTTCTCTTGTGCCGTCAGCATCGGAAAAAATCGACACAAAAGCATTTTAACTTATATACAACCTGATTTTGAACTATAACAGAGAGATAGAAAGAAGGGAAGGGAGCGGGGTGGGTTAAAATCTGTTAGAATCATGAATATATTGCTGAGTATGCATGAAGATATCTCATATAGCTATATAAGATATCTTATCTATTTGCAATCTCGTTGTTATATAAGATATCTGATATAGAATGAGATTTCGTGGCATTTAAAACCAGAAACTAATTTCTCCCTCGAGAATCATTCGGAGCACACTCAGGATTGCATTGGGCGCAATGGCGCAGAGGGATGGTACGGATGCTGTATTTTCCCTAAGCCTAGCTCGCCTTGTCTCTCTTATAGCGGCCAAAGCAGAGGCTGCCATTTCCCGCACTCTTGAAGTGGCCTCAGACATAATGGCGGCGACAGGAACACGTGTTGTTACAACAAGCCTACTGAACCCTACGTAGATCCTCGAGATATTCCGGACGGGGAGACTTCATTTTCGACATTTTGTTAAAATCTCGTTCATATATAAGATATCTTATATATTTTATAAGATATCTCATATACTACATGAGATATCTTATATATTATATAAGATATCTAATATAGAAAATTAAATGAGATATCTTATATATTATATAAGATATCTAATATAGAGAATTAAATGAGATATCTTATATAATATATAAGATATCTCATTTAATTTTCTATATTAGATATCTTATATAATATATAAGATATCTCATTTAATTTTCTATATTAGATATCTTATATAATATATAAGATATCTTATATAGCATCTCATTTAATTTCTATATAAGATATCTCATATACTACATGAGATATCTTATATAATTCGACGAAATACAGGATCGACATTGCTCCTTGAATAAATGTTAAGTTGGCTTGCCATACCAGTTAGTCGCATCTAGCATACTATTAAAAAGTTCAAAATTTGCGTCCTTATAACATGACATTTTCCGTTTATAACTCCTCGTAGCTATTCCGTCTTTGCGTATTGCAGAGTTATCTTCTCTTGGGAGCAGGTATTGATTGTTACGTCACTTGTTTGTGAGAGTAGCGTCATCAATTTTTGAGAAAACGACGTAATTTTCTCACACAAACCAATTACGTAATAATCAATACCTGCTCCCAAGTGAATATAACTCTACAATACACAAAGACGGAATTGGTACCCGCGCATGTGGCATTTTGTGATATGTTATAAATTATGTATTTAAGAAAGAATAGAGATATTTTGTTAATTGACTCTCGTTATATCAACTCTGCCAGCCACATTTTCTAGAATTAAAAAAAAGTAATCGTCCATCGAGTTTAACAAAGATGTGTGCTGGCAAAATTTCACAAGGATGTGTGTTTAACAAGTATTCGGGTCGGTCGGGTTCCATAAAGACGAGTTCTATCAGTGGCACTCGTGCTTATCGTTGTCCTCCAGCTTATCTGGCCCATCACCCTGGGTCTCCCTGACCATCCCAAACTGGGGATAGGCTTATCTACAATAGGTCTTATCATGCTTACTTCGTTCTCCCACAAACTCCAGAACCAAACACTCAGAAGTACAACTCGGTCTCCCACACACTCCAAACCAACCACTCAGAGGTATAACTCGTTCTCCCACAGAC